TTTGCACCGTCCAGCAATATACAAAAGAAAAATACGCACGTTACTTGCCACCGCATTTAACAACCACATAACCTATACGACTTTGAACACCGCCAGGAGCAGTAGAAAAGCTGGACGAATACTGTTGATGATATAATTCTGCATTACCTTAAGGACCCTAAACTATGGGAATTATGGTATATTCCTTATTATGGGTCATGCAGGATTCATATCATCAACCGTACTTGCAGCTTTGAGATTTTCATGTCCAGGGTTTCATGGCTGCTGTTTCCGGCCTAAACCCCTGACACTCCAACACCTCAAACCGTAAAAACGCATGGATCCCTGAAAGAACGCTTCTAGGAACCCTGGAAGGAACCCTTAAAGGGATCCCTATCCCCGAAAACCCCAAGAAGCCTAAAACCTAAACCCTAAAGCCCCGAAACCCCCAACCCCCTCCCCCCCCAACTCTCAACACGAAAACCCCAAACCATCAAAACCTTATAGAGCCCTGAAAAACTCTCTAAAAAAAACCGTAACCCTGAACCCTCAAAACCGCCTATAGAAACCCGCAGATGATCCCTAACCCTAGAACCCGTAACACCCTCAAGCCTAAAACCCCAAACCCTAAACCCTATGGATCCATTATAGGAACCCTTATAGGCGCCCTTGATTTACAGGAACCCCTGAAGAAAACCCTCAAAATCCAGCTCAAAGCTCTGGAAACCAAGGAGGTCACGCAGCCACCAGGCGAAGAATCGGCCGGAGATGTTAAAGCTTCCCCAAACCTTCGGAGCTCCTTTAAGGGCTCCTTTGAGGGTTCCTTTAAGAGTTCCTTTAAGGGTTCCTTTACAGGCTTCTTTGAGGGCTCCTTTAAGGGTTCCTTTAAGGGGGTCTCGGGGTCAGGAGGCTTTCGGGAAGGGTTCCTAAGGGTTGGGGATTTAAGGATTCATTTAAGGGTTCCTGTAAGGTCTCCCCAAACCTCACAAGGACCCTCAGGGGGGTTTAGGGGTCTAGGGTTTAGGGGTTTAGGAGTTGTGAGTAGGAAGAGGGGGATTCTGGGATAAAGGGCCATCATACCCTGAAAAAGGACCTGCTAGGGTCTAACAAGGCCTATTGAAAAGCTTCCCCAAACCTCACATCGGGCTGTTGGAATTGTTTAGAGTTTGTTCATTTTTTTAAGGGCTAACTTTGCTACTGCTCCATCGAAAGCCTCGGTAGAGTCGACATCCACAGTCACATAGAGTTTGGGGTTTAGGGTTTAGGATGTGGAAGGGATTTATGGGCTTGCGAGGGGTTTAGCGTTTAGATTAGATACCGTTGCCTCGCAAATCCTTGCACGCGTCAAAGTGCCGGGCATGTTTGACTTGGGGCGGGCCTAAACCATGACCAACACTATTCCTTGAGGTTCATTGACAGAATACAACCCTCTTCCATTATCAAGGCCCATATTCTAAACCCAGATAGTCACCCTTATAGTAGTAACACTTCCAGGAACCTTTTGTTGGAACCCTCTTCTGACTATTCAGGAGCCTATATTCTTCAGCTGTGAGGTGCTACTGCGTGTCTGTTTTGTGAAGAGGGCCACGATGCCTCAGGGTTCGGGGGCTTCGGGCTGTCTGGCGTTTCCGGATATAATGTAGGAGCCTTAACAATTAGACTACAAAATACTGTTTATGATATAAATCCTGCATTACTGCATTACCCATAATAAGGAATATACCATAATTCCCATAGTTTAGGGTCCTTAAAGTCATGCAGGATCTATATCATCAACCGTAGTATTGGTAATTGTTTAGGCCTCTACATTAACGTTCATGTTAAGGTTCAGGGTCCGGTGGTGTCCAACCCATTCCCTTGCAGCAGCCAAGACACGCTGACAAAGGAGCCGTCCTCGAACGTGTCGGAGAGACCATCCACCCCACGCACGAAATCGGCAAGGGCCATGATGAAAAACAGGCGGACCACCCAGTACTCATATTCTGACGGCGCCGTGCCGGCTTTGTAGCTTCGACACCAACCTGCCACCCAGGAGCCCCGCTATCAAAAGCCCCACTGAAGTTACCTGCTTCCGCATTAAGATTATCTTCGTCGGAAAGGTTGGAGACTTTAACTAAGCATCCGGGCAGTAGAGGAGGAGGAGCAGGAGGAAGAATGGGATGAGGTTCAGGTGGTCATTTCCGAGAACGTACTTCCCAGGTGCATGCATGCATGTGAGTGCATGTAAGCACACTAGATTCAGTATCTGGTTTAGCTCAGTTCCGTTCTTCGCTCGATGCGTAAAGCCCAAATTCCTCAGAAAGCATGGGAAATCATCAGAACGCAGCAGCGGCAGAGGCAGATGTCGTCGTTCTCCATGCTGTCATCCTCCCCCTCTTCCTCTTCCTCGTCGTCTGCGTCGTAGTACTAGCACCAGTAGCAGTATTGTCGTCATCATACCTACTAGTCTACATCCTTATCGACCTCCTTGTTCTTCCCAGATCCCCAGACTCACTACCCCCGCCTCGAACTGCGGCAAAGAACCAACAAACCAGGCTACCCATGTGCACCACATAGGTGACCAGACAGATGCGAATGGAGAGATGCTGCCAATCAAACATCGCGAAAAGCGTGCGTGTAGCTGGCACAGCTTGTGGACGGAGCACGCGACAACAAACTGCGTGCACGTCTATTTGTGTGTGGTGCGTGGGGGGACTATATTTATATCTACTTATGTATATATATATATATATATATATATATATATATATACTTTCTGCGTACTTACTTACTGATGCGTCTTATCTGTTTGTTTGCTTGCTTCTTGCTTATTCGTGAATTATATATCCGGTTTGTCAACTTAAGGGTCAGGGTTGAAACTTTTATACGTTTCTGCTAGTTGCAATATGTTGACTGTGGCAGATACTATCTTAATTGCTCTTCTCACTGCTGTAGTTGACGACATGATCAACGACTATAAGGCGTCGTCCAAATTCTGTTAACCCTGAACTTAAACTGCAAAGCCTGAGTTTGCTTTACATGTCTTCTGAGTTGGGCGTGGCTGCCTACTTGCAGACCGTGTTCGCGCACGCTATGGACACCCGACTGTACCTCAAGCCATAAACAGCAGCAGGACAGGCCAGCAGGCGGGGTTCTGGAACTCAGATCAGATCCTAAACCCCCGCCCCTAAGGGTCCAAGTACCTAATAATCATATATTCTCCCAAATCGTAGCCTACATAACTACTATCCGAAACCTAAGTACCTCATGGCTGGGTGCTTTGGACCCTTAGGGCTGAACCCTAGACCGTACCAGTATGAACCCTAATCAACTCTGAAACCTGAAACCCCAAGCCGTAGGATCGCGTGCTGCGCTCTGCCTATTGAAGGCTTAGGTGCCGGGTTTGAGGCGTGGGATTGAAATTTGATTGGATTCTGGTTCGAGAGCGTAGGGTTTTAGGGTTTAGGGTTTTGGGTTCTGGGTTTTGGGTTTAGTGTTTAGGGTCTAGGGTTTAGGGTTTAGGGTACGGGCTTAGGCTTTAGGGCTTGTTCGTGAGATCAGGTGTGGCGACTGGGAATTAGCCGTACCTTCTAGCGGGGTCTTGTATCAAAGATTCCTGGCATTTGGGGCTTATGTAGGAGTTGCATACATGATGTAGGGTACTCATTACAAGCCTTCCCCAAGCAGGGTTTAAGTTTCAGATTCAGATTTCTTACTTTTACGGGCGGCCCCAAACGCCATTCCTAAACTCCTATGCCTAAACCTTCGCGTCAAAAGCCTATTCCCCAACATCAAGCCTCACTGGCCTAACCCTAACCCCTAACCCCTAAACCCTAAACCCTAAGCGGCCTAACTGTAGTCCCCAACGTAGAAAACCCAAAATGAAATCCTGGGCCTACTCAACTCCCTAAATGTAGACCTCGGACCCAAGCTGATTCTCAAGCGCCTGCCGAACCACAACAAAACCAAACATACTTCCTAAGAACACTAAAGTTCACTAAAATAATCTCCAAACCGAAGCCCTAATAATAAGGACCCATAGGATTTTTACCCTTAATATAGCTATTATCTACCCATTATATAGCCCATTATAGGGTAGGGATCCCCATTAGGGGTGCCTCTTTTTAAACGAAACGCGAGGTGCCAATCCCCAATGCCAAGGCAAATGCGGTTGATGATATAAATCCTGTATGACCTTAAGGACCCTAAACTCTGGGAATTATGGTAGATTCCTTATTCTGGGTCGTGCAGGATTTATATGATCAACAATCTTAAACCTCTTCGGGGTCTCAAGCTTGATTCAGGGTTTAGGGCTTACCTTAACCCTGAACAACCTACCTTTTTTAGGGTTCCCTATTATGATTTCCTGATATAGGTCCTCAAAAAGGAAAGCTCTTTTGGGTTAAGGGCCTAGGGTTTTTCAAAGTCCAGAAGTTCGGGTTCCCGAAACATGAAGCCGAAGCGAATCTCCAAACACAAAAGCTAGACCTTGACGGTTTGGGGTTTAGGGGCGTAGGGTTCGGTTCAGATCGTCATATTTTGTTGACTGTTCATAGAGGGTTAACTTTTACGGTTTAGGGGTTTTAGGGTTTAGCGTTCAGGGGTTTTAGGAATTAGGGTTTAGGGCTCACCAAGCCCCTCAAGCCCGCAAACCCTAAAAGGGTACACCCTAGACCCTGCCGACGAAAAGGCTTTCCGTGGGATACAGGCCGTGTCACCGCAAAGGAGTCAAGAACCTTTTGGGTGTAGGGTTTAGGGTTTAGGAGGCTATGCACCCTTATCTAAACCCTAAACCGTTGGAAACCCTACATACACCCTAAACCCTAAACCCTAAACCCTGCAAACCCTAAACCCTAAACCACCCTTGTCCTTTTAGAAGTAATAGACAGAGCCCTATACCTATATCCCTTAGTAGGAATTATTTAAAAAGATCTACTAGCCGGTCTGTTTATTCTTTTGGGGGAACAATGGAAAAGGACAAGGCTGCCCTAAACCCCAAGCCCGTTGAGGCTCCTCAGAACTCCGGCATTTCAGAGTCTGGCCGTTTCTGTTCTTCCCGTCGATGGCCGCTCTTCTGGGAAGTAGCATCTTTACCTCGGACAGTTTTCAGGTTCCCATAAGGGTTTAGGGTTTAGGGTAAAAGATTTAGGGTTTAGGGTTTAGGGTTTAGTTCCCATAAGGGTTCCTAAACACGGTTTAGGGTTTAGGGTTTAGGAGATCATGGGACTTTGTAAGTAAGGTTATAAGTACCTTAATTGGGGCAATAAGTAGTTCTAAGTATGGTTACCGTAATTAAAGCCCTAGTTACTAAGTCCCATGATCCTTTAAATAAGGGGTTCCTAAACCTAAAAGAAGGTTTCTAAAGGGGTCTACAAGGGCTACCAGAAGGGCTAGTATAAGGACTTAGTGTAGGGGCCTTAGTAATCAGAATAGGGCTCCTAAACACAATCCCTTAACGGGTTCTATAAGGTTTCTATAGAGTATATAGTACAGGCCGCCTTCATAAGTAGAATAAGTTTTGGGGGCCGTTATACAATAAGTCTAAAAAGGGAACGCCCAAAATGGCATACGTATTCATTAAGGCCCTTAATCGAGAACCCTACTATGGATCCCTTATAGACCCCTTTAAGGATCCCTTTAAACGGAACCCTAGGTAATTACTATATATAAGGCCTTTCTAGTAGGGCTTCAGGCTAACGATCGGCTGGGCTCACAAATCGTTAGACAGCGTGTTCAGAAAACGGACCTGAACCGTGAACTTTAAACCCACACGCCTATAGTGAACCCCAGAAAGTTGGAACATGGATTTAGGACGATTAGTGCTGGGATCCCCTATACTTTACCTCTAAGGCCATGAGGATATTGATGTTCCAACTTTCTGGCTTCTACTATATCCGCTTGGGGTTGATGGGCTTGGGATTGCGGGTTAAGGGCTGAGGGTTCGTGGGCCGAGGTTTAGGGCGTGCGCTTTGAGGTTGAGGCTTCATGGTTTGTCATCGGGTTTAGGGTTTAGGGTTTAGGGTTTAGGGTTTAGGGTTTAGGGTATAGGGTTTAGGGTTTAGGCTAGGGTTAAGGGTTTAGGGCATTGGGGCTTTGGTGCTTGGGGTTTGGGGGCTTGAGGGTTTTTAGCTGCCTGGGGTTGATGATGGTTTATTGCTTCGGGGCTTCAAGGCTTTAGGATTCTAGGGTTGAGGGTTTGACGAAGCTCCTAACCCTAAGGGTCCAAGTACCCAAATAGTAGGGTTTCAGGGTTCAAAAACCATTCAGAGTATGGATTTTGGGCCCTAAAACCCTACTATTTGGGTACTTGGACCGTCTGGGTAACAATCCTTCTAAACCCAAAACCCTAAACCCTGAACCTAAACCCTAAGTCGATTTCCAGAAGTGACTCTCAAACCTGAACCGGAGACAGTTCACCTCAAGCCACAATACCGTACTTAGAAGCCTAGGGGAGTTATAGGTTCCTTCAAAGCGCTCCTTTAAGGGATCCTATAATTTAATATGTAGGTGATAAGCAGAGTTACAAGTGGACTAAGAATAGTTGCCCCAGTTATAGCCCTACTTAAAACCAACTTACTAAGTGCCCTGGGCCTCTAAGTATGTAAGTTCTTACAGAACCCTTGTAGAAACACTTGAAGGAAAACTTGCAGGAACCCTTATGCAAACCCAGCACTAGCTTCAGACAGGATTGCAACCTCCACTCCAGCAAGCACACCTTTGGGGTTTAGGAGGGTTTAGGGCTGAGGGCTTATAGGGTTTAGGGACCCGACAGTTCTAAACCCCAGTACCCTAAACTAAACCCTGAAGCCCTAAAACCCTAGAGCCTGAAACCCTAAACCCTTCAAGCCTGAATCCCTAAAGCCGCACCTGCAAACCCCAAGACCCGGAAGCCTAAAGCAAAGGGAACCAAACCTGTCAGAGAATCGAGAAACCAATTCCACGACATGAACTAGACCCAAGAGTAGCCTAGGAATAAAAAGGATGCCCTTTTTGGTTTAAAGGGGCTTATAAGGGAACCTGAACCCCAAAAAAGGGAATAAGGGCCTACTCTAGGTCCTAGTGAAACATCAAGAACACAAGCACCTAAGCCCTTAACCCTGGAACCCTAAACCCTGAAACCCTAAGAAAGACAACACTAAAGGACTCCTCTATGGATGCCCTGCCCAGAGAGCCCAATACCCCTTAATTAAGGAATATAGCTTAAATCATAATATGAAGCCCTATATAATTTAAGCCATATTCCTTAATTAAGGGGTATTATCCCCTAGACCCTAAATCCTATAGATCCCTTAAAGGATCCCTTAAAGAAACCCTAGCCCCTATTCCTTAATTAAGGGGTATTGGGCTCTCTGGGTGAAGTCCTAGTCGCTTAACCACCCTTTTCTTCCTATCTTTGCCGTGCGGTTTAGGGTTTAGGGTTTAGGGTTTAGGGTTTAGGGTTTAGGGTTTAGGGTTTAGGGTTTAGGGTTTAGGGTTTTTTTTTTTTTAAGTGCGGTTTAGGGTTTAGGGTTTAGGGCCATTGCTGTGGGGTTTGGGAATATGGTGTTCCTCGAGGCATTCCCTCAAGGTTCCTTCAAGGTTCTAGGGTTTAGGCTTTATAAGGCTTAGGATTTTGATGGTTCCTTTCGGCTTAAGATGGCACTATGTAGATCGGAACAGGTAGCAACAGTCTAAATACCCATTAGTCGCCAAATAACGCTACTATACACTACCCAATAACCTTGTCAATTTATAGAGACCTCTGTATTAAGTTTTAGGCTTTAGGATTACATTTTGGGTGTGGGCTTAAGTTTTGGATTTGGGGTGTCTTCCTCACAAGCTTGCAAGAGCACAAGCACAGTTTTGGCACAGCTGCCTCCGGCTTCCACCAGCAACCACACGATCATCACGGTCTGAGTCTGGGGTTCAGGGTCAACAGCAACAACACCATCGCAATCTGAACATGGCCTTTGTCGCTTGCACACATCAAAGCCGTGCTGTTGTGATTGTTGCGCAAGTCCGTGCTGGCACCAGCTTCCAAAAGTGACATCGCGATCTCAACATTACCTCTTCGGCATGCGCAGATAAGCGCAGTGCTGGCATCACAATTTTGCAAATCCGTGTTAGCCTTTGCTTCCAATAGCAAGCGTACACTGTCAACATGGCCTCTGTCGCTAGCACAGATCAAGGCTGTGTCGGCGTCATTGTTCTGCACATCCTTGTTGGCACCAGCTTCCACAAGCGCAATCACGACCTCAGCATGGCCCTTTTGGCATGCACAGATAAGTGCGGTGTTGTCATCTCTATTTTGCAAGTCCTTGTCGGCACTAGCTTCCAACAGCATATGCACAATCTCCACGTGGCCTGCGTCGCTTGCACAGATCAAAGCTGTGTTGGCGTCATCGTTCTGCAAGTCCTTGTTGGCACCAGCTTCCAACAGCACAGGCACCGTCTCAACCTGGTCGTGCTGACATGCAATGATGAGAGCCGTGCTGCCATGGGCGTCTTCCAAATGCTGGTTCGCACGAGCTTCCAGCAGCACGCGCACAGTACGAGTACTTCCGCTTGCGCATGCATACATGAGAGCTGTGCAACCCTTCTTGTTCAGCCCAGTCCTTCTCAAGTCCACATTTGCGCCAGCTTCTGCCAGCAAGCGCAGCACCTCAACGTGACCACCAATGGCTGCACCAATGAGAGCCAAGCTGTTCTTGTTGTGTAATTCATCTTGCGCACCATTCTCCAAGAGTAGGCGTGCAATCTCAACGCAGCCACTGGAGCACGCAGAACTGAGAGCTGTGTGACAGGAACGGCTCCTCAATGCGTCTTTAGCACCAGCTTTCAAAAGCAAGCGAACAACCTCAAGGTGGCCTCTGTCGCAAGCAAGGGCAAGGGCTGTACATCCGTCAAAGTTCGCCTTGCTGTGGTTGGCACGAGCTTCCAAAAGCAAGCGCACAATCTCAACACGGCCGTGATCGCAAGCACACATGAGGGATGTGTAGCCGTCTTTCCCGCGCTGCCAATCCACGCTCGCCCTCGCCCCTAAAAGCAACTCGACGGCTTCAACATTGGCCTTGCCGCAGGCACGGGTAAGAGCTGTTTCATGGTCAATGTTGTGCAAATCCTTGAGCGCACCAGCTTCCAACAGCATACGTGCCATCTCAACATGGCCATTGTCGCATGCGCAGATGAGACCCGTGTTGTTTGTTGTTCTGTACCGCGAATCCGCGTCGGCCTTCGCCGCCATCAGCAAGCGGACCGTTTCAAGATTGCCTTTGCCACAGGCAGCGAGGAATGCGCTTGTAAGACTGTCGCTCGACGTGGCAACCAGCACCAGATACACATCGCTCGGAGCCTTCAGCTTCGCAGCATCATCCAGAACACAGCCGTCCAGCACGAGGTTTTGCATGCAGACAGGGAGGTCATATAGAGACAGCATGTACTTCTTCAGACTTTTCACATCTTCCACATCCCCAAGGGGCACTGCTGCAAGCTCGACTCCTGACAGCTTCAAGACGCGGATCATAAAAGGCGGCTATAGGCTACAGTGTCACATATAGCCATGCCATGGGGCCAACTTGAACAGCTCAACACTGCAGCGAGCTCCCTCTGCGAAGAACTTGTGTAACAAGCGGAGAGGGCAGGAATTTGCGACACCTTCAGCTCAACTCGCACTGTACAGAACCTGAACCCGAGACCCTAAACCCGTAGACGCGAACTCAGTAAGCTTCCAACCATCTCATTGAAACCGCTCTTGGCAGCGTAGTGGAGAGGCGTGTTGCCCATTTTGTCCGGCACCTCCACATACAATATAGGGCAAAAAACTGAACTTTAGAATCTTACATTTGGGAAATGTGGGCCCTTACAAAGGGCATTGCAGAAAACGGTAAATACCCTAAACCCCTAAACCCTACACCCTCACCCACTCTATATGTATGTGCACATGGGCGCCTAGTACTTATGGTCATTCGTAACGTGACTTATAGCTAAAGTACTGAGAACCTGTGGAGCCTTGGGTTTAGGGTTTAGGGTTTAGGATTTTAGGGTTTAGGGTTTCGAGTTTAGGGTTTAGGATTTTAGGGTTTAGGGTTTTAGGGTTCAGGGTTTTAGGGTTTAGGGTTTAGGATTTTAGGGTTTAGGGTTTCGGGTTTAGGGTTTAGGATTTTAGGGTTTAGGGTTTTAGGGTTTAGGGTTTCGGGTTTTAGGGTTTAGGGTTTAGGATTTTTGGGTTTAGGGTTTCGGGTTTAGGGTTTAGGATTTTAGGGTTTAGGGTTTTAGGGTTTAGGGTTTCGGGTTTTAGGGTTTAGGGTTTAGGATTTTTGGGTTTAGGGTTTCGGGTTTAGGGTTTAGGATTTTAGGGTTTAGGGTTTTAGGGTTTAGGGTTTCGGGTTTTAGGGTTTAGGGTTTAGGATTTTTGGGTTTAGGGTTTCGGGTTTAGGGTTTAGGATTTTAGGGTTTAGGGTTTTAGGGTTTAGGGTTTCGGGTTTTAGGGTTTAGGGTTTAGGATTTTTGGGTTTAGGGTTTCGGGTTTAGGGTTTAGGATTTTAGGGTTTAGGGTTTTAGGGTTTAGGGTTTCGGGTTTTAGGGTTTAGGGTTTAGGATTTTTGGGTTTAGGGTTTCCGGGTTGTATCCGTGAGGTGAGGATTCCCGTAGGATCGGATCTCGATGCGATGGGGATACGAGAGGGAAGGTCTTGGCTTGACAGGCTGCGTTGGCCGTGGAGTCCTCGTGTCCTCCGTAGGCCGAGTGAGCGTCGAAGATGGTCCGTTGAGAATGGAAGGAAGTGTGCCTTATGCCTCCGGAAACGACAGTCTTGTGGAACGTGTTCAGAGGTCCGAATGCGGCCGGCATGAGGCCGTCTTGCCTCACCCATGTGGCGAGTTGAAACCCGACTCCCAAGCCCTTGAACATCTGAGGCCAAGGTGAAAGGTTGCCTGAGGGAAAGGCTATTGTCACGGCGGGCTCCATCAGACAAGCTGTCAAGAATTTTCCATTGTATCGTGCCCGTCCGAGAAAGGTTCTCGCCTCCACCTGCTGCTCTTTGATGTATTCCTCCCCAAATTCCTCGGCCTTGGCGAGGAGTTCTCCGCTGGGATTGGGTCCCCATGACGTGTTTACTGCGATGACGTGATTACACCATAGCGGGCGCACGTCTTCTGCTCCCACTGGGCTCGCGCCTAGCCCGATTACTGTTAGGTCCTTGAGCATTCCTACTTGGGCAGAGAAGGGCGCGGGTCTGCGAGGGTTTAGGGTTTAGGATTTAGGGTTTAGGGTAGGGTTTAGGAGTATTTAGCGGCTTTAGGTCTTCAGTTTTCGGTTTGCAGTTTGGCGTTGGCGTTTAGAGCTGGTGGGAATGTAGCTCCCTGACCAAAAAAGTTAGCCTTCCTTCTCGTTCAGGTAGGATACTAAACCAAATGGGGCTTTCCGAAAATAGGGGACCCTAATATAGTACCCCTAAATAGTAGGATCCTTCTAATAAGGACCCCGAAACAAAGGTACCCCTAATTTTGTGAAGCTCCCAAATCATAATTGGAGAACCCTGGAACAAAAGCTTAAACCCTACGTTTAAGCCCCCGATAAGGATACCTTTGTCAAGGTTCGAAAGACCTTTGTCAAGGCTTGAAACACGGAAATCATACTGAAGAAGCAAAGCCTAATTAAAGGCTTTGTGTTATACTTACTCCCCCAATAAGCCACCCTAAACCCTAAACCCTAAACCCTGAACTTCCCGACTCCTACCAAACGATAAGAACCCAAGAAGTTTAAAGGCTGGACATTGGGGATCTAAGTATAAGAACTCGCACCGGGGTCCCTGGGTCGGCTTGCATCAAAGGGGAAAAGGAGGGACCCTTAATGGGGACCCCTACCCTATAATGGGCTATATAGGGTCCCCGATTTTCGGAAACTCCCAAACGTCATTCAAAGAAAGATTGAGTGGGGTTTACGGTTTAGGGTTTTGGGGTTTAAGGGCTCAGGGTTTAGGGTTTAAGGTTGAGAGTGCGCGGCGTAGAGTTTTGCAAAAAATCGAAACCATTCACAGCCCGACAAACCCTTGCTTATTGCCTCCCCCTCCTCGTCACGCCCCTCGCAGCACTAAACCCTAAACCCCAAACCCTAAAACCTAGTGGTCCTTGTGCATGTACCGATGTACGAGCGTCTCAATGCAGTGGTCTTGCCTGAGTGCGCACGACGATTCGTACATTGCGAAGCTCGACGTGGCATCCCAAAAAGATGCCAGAAAGTCGAACGGCAACCTGATCGCCACGCGGCTGACATTAATCGGGATCCCAACAGAAGTTGTAGCGATGGCGGCTTGGGATTCGAAACTGCAATTCTTCACTTCCGGCTTTAGGATAAGCCTCGAACCCTGGGCCCCTGAAGAAGCCCTTACTGTGCCTTAGGGTTTGGGATTTAGGGTTTAGGGTTTAGGGTATCCGTAAACCCTAACTCCAAACCCCAAACCCGCAACTCTAAAGGCCGAACCCTACTATAGGGGCTTTCTTTAATAATTAGAGCAGGATTCTGGGGCCCGTTATGCAATGATGACAATAAAGAACCCCTAAAATAGTTGAGGTATGTATATACATATATATATATATATATGTATATATATATACACATATTTTTTAGGCCCCTATAGTAGACCTCCCAAGACTCAAATCTTAGTGGCGTTGCGTGACAGAGCCTGCCTGCTCGGGGTTTCTGTCCAGCAGGAGCGCGCCGATTTGCTGCTGGGAGATGAAGGGGTTTAGGGTTTAGGGGTTTTAGGGGTTTTAGGGTTTCAGGGTTCTTTCGGTTTAGGGTTTATGGTCTGGGGGCTTAGGGGCTTAGGGTTTAGGGTTCAGGCATGCTTGGTTTGGGGCTTCTAGCGTTGGGTGCTGCGCTTTCGTTTTACGACTTGCGTTTTCCATTTACGACTTCAGCAGGGTTTTGTAAGGGATCCTGGAGGTTTACAACGGGGCTCTCGGAGAAGGGAGCGGAATTTGACACAAAGCCACATCCGAATGATTGAGGCCCCTGTGGGGCTTCGGGGTGTCACAGCCTAAGCCCTAGCCATACGGTTGATGATATAAACCCTGCATTACCCATAATGAGGGATATACCATAATTCCCATAGTTTAGAGTCCTTAAGGTAATGCAGGGTTTATATCATCAACAGTAGTCTTCATTGTAGTTCCTTTTTTTGGTTAAGAAAATACATATTATTCTGACCATAAGGATTGGTTAACCAAACAAGGGAACTACGACGGAGACTATCCCTAAACCCGAAACCCCAAAGCCTAATCTGGGTGCGTGTTGCGGAGACTATGTTCACGGTTTAGGTCTTATGGTCGGGGTGTCTAGGGTTTACCTTAACCTACCATAGCCTGCTCTTGTGTAGCTTCTTGCTATGAACCCGAAGATGGAAATTATACGGACCCTACAGCCAAGTAGGTTTTGGATTTGGCAGGTTAATGTAAGGGTTTACCCAGACATTCCAAAATCTATCGACTAACAATCTGCCTTAAATCATACTAGGGTTCCTCCCATATGTTTGGGTACCCTTAGCCCCTGAACCCCAAACCCTAATGGTTCGAGTGTTTAGGGTGTAGGGTGTGCAGTTTCAGATTTAGGAATTCAGAATTCTAGACCCAAGAGTAACCTAGGAATAAAAAGGGTGCCCTTTTTGGTTTAAAGGGGCTTATCAGGGAACCTGAACCCTTAAAAAGGGAATAAGGGCCTACTCTAGGTCCTAGAACTGAAGCTTGCATCTTAGACTTAGACCTCGGGGCCAAAACATCCGGATAAAGGCCTGGTAGCGTAGAAATAAGGGGATTAGGCCTCTAGGGATTCGGGCTTTACAGCTTAGGGTTCAGAGGTCCTGAACACCGAAAACCCTACCTTCTTAGAGATTCGCATTATGCTTTCGTTCTATCAGTTCCTAAACATGTAGTTTGTTTTTCGGGTTTCACGGGTTGGGGTAGAGTTTGGGTGTAAACTTCCGAGATCCCGCGAAGGTCTATTCAGCACTTCTCTGAAGCGGGGTTTGCAACAAAGCGTAGCCACCGCGGTACAGCAGTATTTTGTCGTCGCCACGATGGCACCTTATGCGAGTCTGCTGTGTAACAGGTCAAAGGATTCGTGGGCCAGGGACTGCTGAGGGCAGTGCTCGATCAGGGCCTTTGAGAAGGCATCTTCTCGATCACGTGCGTGGGCCAAAATGCCAAGAACACAAGGCCCTCTCCCACGCCCAGTGTGGTGATGGCGGCAGTGGTGGTGGCGGTGGCGTCAGTGGTGGCAGTGGCAGCAGTGCCAGAAGCAGCAGCGAAGCAGCAGCAGAAGGAAGCAGCAGTAACCTTAAACCCTAAACCCTATGCTACAGCCTGAACCCCAAACCATAAACCTTAACACCTAAACCCTAAGCCTTAACACCTAAACCCTAAACGTTAAACCCTGCGCCCTATACCATTGCAGCAGCAAGTAAGGCCCGGGCATTTCCGAGCCTGGCGAGCTCTCAAGGATAGGGGGGTTTCAAGGGTTCAGGGGTTTTAAGGGTTTAAGGGTTTATGGTTTAGGGGTTTTAAGGGTTAAGGGTTTAGGGTATAGGGTTCAGGGGGTTTAAGGTTTAGGGGCTTAGGGTTTAGGGTTTAGGGGTGGAAGGTTTCAGGGTTTAGGATGGTTCACGTATTGGTTTCAAGGTTCAGGGTTGGGTTCAGGGTTCCGGGATCAAGGCTTAACGCAGCTCTCCATAGACCTAAACCCCTTAAATTCCTGCTTTGAAGCTTGAGATGGACTCCAAACCGTAAACCCTACAAAGGGCTCTTAAAGGGCTCCTAAAAGGGATCTACAGGGTTCTTTAAAGGGATCTATGGGGTTTAGGGTTTAGGGTCTACTTGGAGGCCCAGGGGACTTAGTAAGTCCGTTATAAGTAGGGTTGTAATTCGAGTAACTCCATTTAGGGGACTTCTCACTCTACTTATAACCTACTTACTAAGTCCCCTGGGCCTCTAAGTAAACCCTAAACCTTAAACTCTTATAAGCCTTAAACCCTAGACCCTACACTCTAAACCCGAAACCCTAACATCTAAACCCCAACCCCTAGTCCCTAAACATTAAACCCTAAACTTTAAATCCTACACCCTAAACTAAACTAACACAAGTTCTTGGCTTCCTGCCTTCTTCCGAAGCCCTGCTACTTATTCCCAAAGCCTCAGCTCTCGGTCTCAGGCTTTGGGGCTGAAGGTTTAGGGTTTAGGAGAAGGTTCACGGTTTAGGGTTTACGGTGACATGGGTTGCTTAGGGTTCAAGTGTACCTTAACCTACCAAGCCCTAGGTTTTTCTAGGTTCTCATTAAAAAAAAACCTATTATGGAACTTATGCCGACCCTGCAAATAAGTAGGTTCTGGTGGACTAAGGTAGCATTGAGAGCTGAGTTGAGGTCCGGGCTAAGGCTTTCGGGCTGATAGAGCAAGGTTACGGGGTCGAGGAAGTAGTGTAGAGGCCTTAATAATTAGAATAGGGCTTGGGGCATTATACTATAATCATAATATTGATAAGGAACAAAGAATAGTATTGGTACTTATGTAGGTCCCCTGTATTCTCGAGAAGGTTTCGGGTTTTAGGGCTTACTGTTTAAAAGGGTTTGGAGTTTAGGGCTTAGGGTTCAGGGTGTAGGCGCAAAGAAGCAGCGGACGAAGCCGAAAAAGCCGACTCCTCAACGCTTCAAGCGAGCAAGCGGTGCCTGGCTGCGAAGTGAGTCGGTGTCAAGCCGAAGGTGTCATCTTTGGCGTCGAGGCTTACCTGCCAGTGTCTAAGGTCTACTTGGAGGGGCAGGGGAGTTTATGAGTAGGGTTGTAACTGGGGTAACTCCATTTAGGGCACTTATAACTCTACTTAGAACCTACTTACTAAGTCCCCTGCCCCTCCAAGTAGGGTTTAGGGTTTAGGGGACGTTTGTGAAGAGCTTAGACAGGCGGGCGATTAGAAGTACCCTATTTTGGGCACCCCAGCGGCCCGACCCCTAAACCCTAAACCCCTACACCCCTATAAACCCCTAAACCCTAAACCCCTAAACCCCTAAACCCCTATAAACCCCTATAAACCCCTATAGACCCCTATAGACCCCTAAGCCTACTAGAACCGACCCACAGAGCCTCCCGCGAGCAGTACCGTAAAGTTCAAGCTGATTTTAACACCCCACCCCCTTCCCCCTCGCCCTCGGTGTCGGGTTTAGGGCTTAGGGTTAGGGTTTAGGATTGGGGCTTATAGGGTTTAGGGTTGAAGGTCCCCTCGCCCGACCCCCTCCCAAACCAGGTGGCAGTTCGGGTTTCCAAAAGCAACGATGAAGAAACTAAACATTGCCCCAATTCAAAATCCAGTAGGCGGAATTTAGGGCTTGCGGCTCAAGAGGGGGATCGTGTCGGAAAGTCCAATGCCTCCACTGTAAAGCCTCAAACTGGAATCCCTAAACCCAAACACACTAACACCCAACAAACCATAAATCCCCAAACCCTATAAACCATAAAAACCTGAACCCTAAAAAACCGTGAAACCCTAAACCCTGAAACCCACATGGTTGAGAGTTTTGGGTCAGAGGGGTCTATATGGATTCAACATCTAATGATGAATACCACCCAGGTTCACTATTTCCCCTTTCAAAAGGGGGCCTTCTGAGTCACGGGTTGGCATTAGGAGTTCGGAGTAATATTTGACTAAACTTCAAACCCTCAGCCCAAAGCCCTAAACCCAAACCCTTGAGCCCTAAACCCAAAGCCCAATGCCCCAAACCCTTAACCTACTTGCACAGCTCTGAGCCCTCAGCCGCGCCTTTGGTTTGCTCAGGAGCTGTCGGACGAGAGCTACATCCGGCCTCGTTCGTTCAGAAGTTTAGGGACTCGTTAAGACGGGTTCCCTCTGGGCTACGGGTTGAGGGCCTAAGGGGTTCAGGCTTTTGGGGCTTGTGGTCTAACATGGGATCTGGTAATGATATTTCTCCCGCGCACCTCTATATTCATGTATTCTATGATACACCCCCAAAACCCTGGTCTAGTGTAGGTATTGAGGCCCCTACAGTGCTCAGGGTTTGGGGCTTTGAGTCCTTGCAAAACAGAAACGCAATAGACTGCCGGGCTCCACTACTGAGAGAGAAAGACGAGGAGAAGAAGAGACCCAAACCCAGACTCTTGAACTCGACACCTTACGTGCTTCAAAGCCGCCGCAAGATCCTAGACCCGAAATACTCCTAAAACCTGACGCCCATCCAAAACTACTGTGAAACCCGAAAAAACCCATAGAGGAGCCCTCGACCCCAAAGCAAAGCAGCCAAAACCATGAACCCGAAACCCTTACACCCCTAAACCCCGAAACCCCTATTGCCGCGGCCTTCATAATAAAAACAGGGTTTGGGCTCCCTTAAAGTAACATCATAACGCATAGCCAGGAACCCTACGAAACTAGCATGGAAACTTCTTCAGACTTCTACACTAAACCCTATATAAACCCTAAACCCCAAGCCCTGAACCCGAAGCCCTAACCCCTAAACCCCTAAACCCTAAGCCCCTGAATCCAGCCCTGATGGTCGAGGCCCCCGCTCATCTGCAGACATGCACTCCACCAGGGCTTGCTCCTGGGCTCTCCCTTCAAAAGGAACCCTTAAAGGAACCCGTCTAGTAGCAGTAGTAGTAGTAGTAGTAGTAACGCATCCCCCCCCCGGTGCGACGCCCAGACATCTTATTTTTGGGACTTGCTGTGGTCGAAAATGCTGTGTTTTACAGCACTTTTTTCTGCAGTTATCGAAAGTGGCAACTGTTCCTGGTTTCGTGTCTATTTTTATCATATTTTCTAGCATTGTTCATCAATCTCGCACCAGAAAATGCAGGTATTTACAGCACTTGTCTTTGCGAATTTCATGATTTTTTACTGTTTTGCGGTGTCTCGATTTTCGTGCCCAAAACCTAGCGATCAGAATCAAGGTTTTTTGGGCCTCATTTTGATCATGATGTTCATCCAAATCCTTGGTTTGAAGAGCATCCATGTCCAAAACCTAATGACGTGCATGGTCTAGCGCATTTTGGTTTGGAGAGCATCCATGTCCAAAACCTAATGACGTGCATAGTCTAGCGCATTTTGGTTTGGAGAGCATCCATGTCCAAAACCTAATGACGTGCATGGTCTAGCGCATTTTGGTTTGGAGAGCATCCATGTCCAAAACCTAATAATGACGTGCATGGTCTAGCGCATTTTGGTTTGGAGAGCATCCATGTCCAAAACCTAATGACGTGCATGGTCTAGCGCATTTTGGTTTGGAGAGCATCCATACCCCCTCCCTAGGTGGGGGGGGGGTGTGGGGGTTGGTCGTGGGAATGAGGCTGGCCCTATTTCCGGGGGGGGTTGGGGGGGGGGGGGGGAACCACTCTAACCAGGCAATTGGGGGAGCATAAATGCATGTTAAATATGAGGCTGATACCCGTCTCATCCGTCTCATGCTTCGCAACACTCGCTGGCCACTCGATTGTTTTCCTCGGCACTCGCGTCTTCGAGTACCTGGTCGCCTCCCCTCGGGCTCGGTGTGAAACGGAAATTTGCAAGCGACCGCAAGGATGGAAAGCTGGTTGGCTGAACATGCTGAACTCGAGCAGATGCAACTATGTGATTATGCAACCCCTTCGCAGTCGCCTGCTTCGGCCTCCCCCAGCCGAATGTGCGGAGCAGAGCACGAGCCCCGAAATCTGGAACAACCGTGGAGCATCTGGAACCGGAGACCCTATGAACTTTACACCCTGCCCGTAAATCCGAAACAGTGCCGAAACCCTCAGCCTTAGGACCCTGGAACCTAACAATACGAGAGCCATGGAGGTCTGAAGGATTTCATGGGCCGCCTCTTGCATGTCAGATCTTCGCGAGATCTATCACTCCAGGCGCCTTTGACGCCACGAGTCCCAGGAAAACCTTGAGGGCTTTCACGCTCTCGGGGCCTCGGCCGGCTGCTTGGAGACACAAGTTAGAGATATGCAGCAACCTACGAGTAAAAGGACGAGGCACCGTTGGTCGGGAGCAGCTGGCTGAACTTGGAGTGCACGGCTCGGCTGAAGCGATGCCCTTGCAGGCCGGCGAACTCCACCTGCAGGAAGCCAGGCACACGCTGGACGAGGTCCTTCCACGGAGTGCTCTTCACCTTCTCGAAATGCACCAGTCCGGTAGAGGCATCCACAAATGCGAAACCCTTCTTCCGGTAACACTCCTCCAGGGCCAGCAGAAACTTGGAAGTGGCCTGTGCGAGTCCCTGGCACATGAAGCTTCGATCATTGAACTGCAGATCGGAGGGCTCGGACATAGCAGGAGCCGGTGCAGCAGTGTCCTCCTCGGTTTGCTCGGTAGTTTCCGGGATCGGTTGGATGGGAAGCTTTTTCTCTGCCTGCAGGATCTTCAGTGCGGCAGCTGCGGCAGGGGTGAGCCGGAACAGCAGCTGTGTCTTCGTAGATCTCCATGCTGCCAGAGACAGTTCACCGTAGATGCAGTTCACTGGTTCACAGAGCATACACAACTCCGCACAGGAGGTAGCATACTCGGCCGTCGTCGGATTGAAGATGCAACCCGCAATGTGGACCATTCGTGTAGATGCGCATGGGAGATCATCTGGGAACGGGCGAGCAGTGCGAACTGTCAACTCCGACGAGTTAGGCTTTTTGACCAAGGCTCCACGAAACACGGTCAGGATCAGGCCGATGCCCACTTGGCCTCCCCAGAGGTGTGCCACGATCTGGAAGCGATCTTTGCCACAAGGAAAATACGTGGTGGGCGGCGAGAGGCCCGGATCGGCCTCTGTTGCGAGACTGTTGCGAGGACGGACATCGACAGCGAGTCTCTGTTGGCTGCTCTGCCAGGCCTGTGCACGTGAGAGTCGCACCTGGCTAACATTGGCTGCTCGCCTGGCAATTGCCAGCTGGTGCTCCCGCTCGTTCCAGCTGTTGAGAGGTGCAGGCTGGGAGTTCAAAGTGCTCAAGGACAGGAGTCCTTCCTGGGCTCTGGCATGCCGAATGAAAGATCGCAGGAAGCCCGACATGTGGAGAACCCGCTGGAGCATGGCCGTCTGTCCCGCAGCACTGGCGGAATCCAGGTCGAAGATATCCCCGCCGTTCACTTTTGCTGCCTGCAGCACGTTGCTGAGGCTGGTGGGCACCGCGGCAACCGCCTCAGGAGGTGACTCATGTGGCTCCTTGTCAGCCTGCTGGGGCACCACCTGCTTCTCCTCATCCTCCTTGCCCGCCTCATCCTGGATATCCTGGGCATCTGGGTTCTCCATGGCCTTGATGTCCGCGATGAGCTGAGCTCGGTCTTGTACTTGATGCAAGACCTCTGTCGCCGCTCGCTGCTCCTTGGTGTCACCCACTGCCGGGGGCTCGAGGTCCTCTTCGAGTTCGGGCGTGATGTCAAAGAGATCGAAAGCATTGGCCGCCGCATCGGGACTCCGAAACAGATCCATGCCCTGCTTTCTCCACCACTTCTGGAAGTCGCCATACAGCTCGCTTGGGGCAGTGTCCACAGAGATGAAGCATTGGAACTCAAGAGCCGTACGGAGTGCCTTTTTGGCAATGTTCTTCAAGGTGTCCATATCCAAGGCCGGCCGGGCAAAGGATGAGCAGCGTTCTTGCAGGGCAGCTTCTGGCATCCGGCTGAGCTGAAGCACCTGCCTTGCGCAGAGAGAGCGGTGTCCCAGCAGACAGTCTCTGAGTGAGGGTCACCTTTGAACGGAGCCTTCAGTCGTCCGAAATGATGTTCAATGGCAAGTTCTTGAAGGCTGCGCGGCTCCGTATCGTCGCACAAGCAAGCGACGACGACGAAGTGCATGAGGGCTACTCCGTTCTTGACGGTGATGTCACTGAGACTCTTGCGATTCCGCTCTGCCCATTCAGGCCACTGCCTGGCGGCTTCGGCACGGTGCAACAGGAGCAGGTACATCGCGGACATTGCGTTCAGACAGAGGTCTTCTCGACTGAAGCCTGGGCTGGCGGTAGTGCACGAGCAGATCAGAGCTCCGACGAATGCGTGGAGCAACACGCCGGGGCTTTGCCACTGCCGGCCCACGAATGGTGTGGACATCCTCTGTGCTGCAGCAAGATCACTCTGCGCATCGCTGACCAGATACGCCGAGTGAGGTAGCCCACTGCAGAGTTCGATGCTCAGGTCTGCGAATAGGGCTCCATGTCGGATCTTCCTACATCCAGCTAAGTGGGCCAGGCTGTACCGCTTCTGATAGTGGTATGCACCGTTGAAGGCTACCAGAATGCGATGGTCGTGCCGGAGGAAGCGGTGCGGCCAAAAGGGCAGCTGCTGCAGCATGTCATCGATCACACAGTCCTTGAAGAAGGGTAGAGATTCCTGCAGACGCAAGTCGGAGTGGCCAAGGAAAATCTGCAGCAGTCGCTGGTTGTTGGAGCCCCCATCAAAGGCCAGGCCATGTGGTGCAACACCGCCGGCAGCGGTCGTGGCCTCCTGGAAGACATCTGCAACCATCTCCAAGGTCTCACTCGCAGTGCATGCTTTGCCAGCTGCTGGTGCTCGCGGCACCACGAGGATGTCGAACACCCAACTGCGATTGTCGCATCTCTGCATACACACGTGCATCGCCAGCTTGGCGAGCCGATCAGCAGGCAAGGAGTGCTTGTCGTGGGATGCAGGGTCCAAGATGCTGTAGTCCTGGTCCGGATCCTTGGACTAGCATCCACCCACCCAGGCATCCTGCAGGGTGCCATCGCCGTTCATTGTCAAGCCACGGACCTGAGACCAGCTAGGTGACCAGGTAGTTTCATCAACGATGAAGTGTGAGCGAGACCCGGCATTGCGGAGGTGGCTGGCAGCACGGAGGCAGTTCTCACGGATCTGGGCCTTGTTGGACAAGCAGGCGTAAGGCAGAGGATAGCGGTCGTTGTGCAGGGAGAGAACCTTCAGCTTTTTGGGATTCACCTTGAAGGTCTTCAACAAGTTGACTACCTCCTCATGCCGTCCAAGTGTGGTCAAAGACTCCGACAACACCTCGTAGTCAGTAAACTCCCCTGTAGTTTTTTGCCTCACGTCCCGGAGTCCTTTCACCATTTTGGACAGGAAGCTTGTGCAGAGACTCTGCACGATCACGTCTGCCCTGAGCGCCCCAGCCGCTACACGGGCTGCTAGGACCAGGTCTTTCTCTCTGCAGCGGCCAGCAACCAGCGAAGCAGCCATGCCCCGTACGAGGGAGCTGTGTGCTTCGGCCTCCGTGTCCGTGCTATGCGACCGATGTGGCCTGTGCAACCATAGCTCGAAGAGCCTACGCAGCGAATCTGAGACACGCCATGCAGGGGTACACTCGAACTTGGATGCGATGGCACGGCATACCTCGAGGTTGTTCTTGATCCGCAGGTACCGATCGAGGTCTTGACCGGCCAGGCCCGCCAGCTGATAGTCCCGACCGGGTAAGGCTGCTCTGAACTCTTCCAGCTCCTGGGCCGTGCTGTGGTAGCAGTGGTGAGTCAGCATGCAAAGGTCGATCACGTAGGCCTGCTTTGCCACTGCCAGCTTGAAACTCTTGGCCTTGGAGGCCTGCACACACTCGGAGCAGGCCGTCATGGACTGCCCCACTACCCCCAAGCACTTGGCATGCCGGATGCTGATGTCGCTGCTGAGGACCTCGAAACGGATGGCCTCCAGGGGGTCGGTTTCTCCTTTGGCATAGTGCATTCGCGGCTGGCCGTGCTGGACGAAGAGGGTGATGCTCTCGTGCAGTGCATGCTTTGAGGCCAGGATTCCCGAGCACGGCTGCGAGGTGTCCGAGGCAACAATTGCCGCACCCGCACGGCTAGGGGCCTGGACCAAAGTGCCCCTCAACTTTGCGAGACCCTGGATGTGTGTCTTGTACGCCTCGTGTCTCAGGATCTTCTTCTTGCATGTGGCAGTTTGAAACTGGATCTCTTTGCCACAGGGTCTGCAGTAGTACGTGGCAGACTTCTGATAGCTCCGGTCGGTCTGCACATACACATCCTGCCGCCGAGCCTTTACCCAAGCATGAAGGCACTGAAGGCACCAGGAGGGCACTTCGCCCTTGCGACGCCGTCCGGCTCTCCGTTTCCCCTCCGGCTCACCCGAGCTGGAGTCTGCATCCTCCCTCTCTTCAGCAGCATCGGCAGCCGGCACAACCTGGTTCCCACCCATCCCAGCGTCGCTTGCTCCGCCGGCACTGCCAGTCTCTGGCCGCACTTCTTTGAGCAGGTCGCAGCAGACAGGGCAAGCTATGATCATGGAAGGGTCTGCGCAGGCCTGCAAGAAGATGCCCCAGTGACCCCCCACAGCAGGCATGTCCGCCAGGCAGTGCTTCTTCTGGAAGACAGGATGGCTCACAGGACACTCACTGGCTTTCATCTTCTTCGGTGCTGGCTCCTGCTCCTTCCCTGCTTTGCTTCTGGCACGGCGCTCCGCTTTCCCTCGGCGAGGCACACGAGAGACTGCAGGACTCACAGGTGGAGGGGATATTGGCTCCTTTCCTGAGTGGACCTTCTGCCGCTTCGGCGTGCTCGGTGCTATCTCAGCCTCGCCAGATGATGCCAGGGTGGACAAGATCCTGGACTCCGAGTCGGAAGCTCCTGCTGGCCCAGACTCTGTGCCTTTCGCAGCTTTCCCAGCCGCAGCAGGTGCTGCTGCTGCTGATGCTGATGCAGACGAGGCAGGCGCCATGAACTGTGCGATGTCTTCCGAGGAGGGGCCTTGCAGTGACTTTGGCAGGCTACCGGATGCAGCGAGATGCTGGAGCACTAGATCTGCACTCGCGATGACCCTGTGGCCACAAGACCACGAATCCTTCTGAGGAGCTACCTGACAGATGGAAAGCGAGATGGACTTCATGTGCTCCCCGGCCCAGATCCGCAGCTCGTCGCTCAAAAGGAAGGCCCGGGCCATATCGGCACAAGCAGCGGAGCCCAAGCCATCATACAGACATGCTTCGGTCGTCGTCTTGTCTACGACCAGCAAAGCCCAATGGCCGGGATTATCGCTGTATACAACTGCGAGGACCGTGCTGACATGCCTCTGACACTCAAGAAGCCTGGCCCTCGATCTGCTCGTTGCCGGCATTCAAGATACCGATGTCAGCAGTCCAAGGCTTCCGAACCCGCGCATTGCACACAGCCATGAGGCCACGGATCACCTGTGCTATGTCGCACATGCTCTGCGACAGGGGCCTGTAGATGGACCCAGCTGTCAGCTGGGCTTCCAGGGCCTCGGCAGTAATCGCAGTGGGCTGCTCCTGCTTCACACGCAGCAGCTCTGCCTTCGCAGGACCTTCCACCTTCATCGCACCCGGCTTCGCCTGCACCCCTTGGGCTGGACCCGATCGCAGACCTCTGCTCACAAGCACTGCCAGCTGCTGCTGGCTCGGCTCAAGGACATCGTTCCCAGAAGCTGCAGAAGGGTCGAGGTCGTTCCACCCGTAATGCGACAAATGATCTCGCCATGCAGCTGGACTTCCAGCGAGGAATGTTGCAGGATCTGCTTGAATGTACGACATGCGAGCTTCACGTGTCAGGAGTGCCCAAGCGCTCACATGTCCCAGCTTTTTTTGCTCCTCACTGTAGCTACACAGGGCGGCAAGTTCTTCGAGAGCGACCAGGGCGAACTCTCGCCTCTCCTCGGGAGCCAAGCAAAGATAGAGGCCTTGGCGATCCGCCTCCGAGAGACTTCGCCTCAGTTCGTTTGTGGGGCAAGCAAGATGCATGCCACCTTCCGCAGACAGCACTTTCGAATTCAGACGAGCAGCATCTCAGCCCGCATAGCCGGATTGTCATCCGCAAATTCCATGAACGCCTGCCACATAACCTCCCACGGCTGCCGTGTCCGGGCAGCTGCCAGGATCTCTGCAACCTGGGTTGTGACTGTCTGTAGTTTCTGCTTCTACTTGCAGTAGCATCAGCAGTGGTAGTAGTAGTAGTAGTAGTAGTAGTAGTAGTAGTAGTAGTAGTAGTAGTAGTAGTAGTAGTAGTAGTCGTAGTCGTAGTAGTAGTAGTAGTAGTAGTACCAGTACTAGGTACTCCTGCTGGTACTACTGCTAGTACTACCAGGAATGAATAGGTTTGGGATCGGGGGGGGGGACCCTCTCTCCCAAGACTCTTGGGCCCTTTGCTGTACCCCGCCACCCCAATCCCCAGCCCCCTTTTGTTCTCCCATACCGTCGTGGTCTAACACCAGGAATGGTTCCAGTACTGGCCGTGGCTGTAATGGGAGTAGGGCTCGGAGCAGGGGTCGCGGGACGTAGGTTAAAGGGCCCAGGAGTCTTCCCCCCCCCTGCCCCGGACCTATTTCTTCCTGATATCACTGGCAGCATTCATAGTACTCGCCGTACTAGCAACAATTGTAAGGGCCCAGGAGTCTTGGGAGGGAGGGTCCCCCCCCCTGCCCCGGACCTATTCCAGACTCCTAGTAGGACTAGCAGTAGTAATATTAGTAGTGGTCGTAGTAGTAGTAGTAGCAGCAGTAGTAGTAGTTGTAGTAGAAGTAGTAGAAGTAGTAGTAGTAGTAGTAGTAGTAGTAGTAGTAGTAGTAGTAGTAGTAGTAGTAGTAGTAGTAGTAGTAGTAACAGCAGTAGTCATGGCTACCAGGGCAGATTACAGGGCTTGGAGCAGGGGTCGCGGGACGTGGGTTAAAGGGCCCAGGAGTCTTGGGAGGGAGGGTCCCCCCCCCTGCCCCGGACCTATTTCTTCCTGATATCACTAGTGCTTGCCGTACTAGCAACAATTGTACTACGGGACCAGGGAAGTAGGGCTGGGAGCAGGGGTCGCGGGACGTGGGTTAAAGGGCCCAGGAGTCTTGGGAGGGAGGGTCCCCCCCCCTGCCCCGGACCTCCTAGTAGGACTAGCAGTAGTAGTATTAGTAGTGGTAGTAGTAGTAGTAGTAGTAGTAGTAGTAGTAGTAGTAGTAGTAGTAGTAGTCGCTGTTGCTGTTGTCGTCGTAGTTATACTAGCAGTATCCCTACGTGGCAACATCGTCAATCCAAAGCCCTTATCCCGAAGACCCTCTCGGCAATCCCACGTTCGCCGGCCAGGCGACGGTCTGCTCCAGCTTCACCGAGGGCTCCACACCAGACGAAGCTGAAGCCTTCACAGCGGGCAATGGAACACCACAGATCGATGCTGGCACCGGATACAAAACTCTTGCATTCCTCCGTCGAGCCTCCTCGGGCACTTCGGCCTTATCTGCCTCCTGTGTCCAGCGATTCAGAGCACACCTACGAGTTCGATGACTTAGTTGCAGCATACCCTTGCGGTCTAGAAGGAGTCCTTCTGAGGATCGGGAGGAGAAGGCGGAGGTGTCAGAGGCGCCGGCAGCGGCGGAGCCTGACCAGCCGTGGACTGTGGCATGCAACCTAGGGCTGTCAAACCCTGCGCTCGGTGGAATGGGTGCCGAACCTCGACGGCAGCCTCAGCTACCTGGACAAGCGAGCAGACGAGGGACCTACCTCGGACTGTCTCCTGAAAACAACACAACCGATCCATGCCCAAACCTTGTAGAACAACGTCAGGCTAGATCACACCGCCAACCGCCCGCCTCGAGAGGTACGACCAGCATCTGCTGTTCAGGGACCTTCCGAGCAGGCAGGAATTACAAGAAGCAGCAGAGCTCGGTAGAATGGGTCCCGAACCTCGGCGGCAGCCTCAGCTACCTGGACATGCGAGAAGACAAGGGACTTAAAACTGACTATCTCCCGGAAACAACACAAACTCAAATGCCTTTGATCGCGGGGCCCCCCCTCTTCCCGACGACATCGACAAAAGCAGCCAAGGAGAACTTATGCTCCACTAGGCTTGCCCTGGTCCACACTTCTGGCGGCGCCTGTATGGCCTGTCTCCAGAGATCTTGGATGCTTCGCACCGGTGACAGCAGAGAATGGCTCCGTGTGGTGGGACATCTTGCGAACCTTCGAAGCTTGCGACACAGCTTTCCCTCGGCGAGGCATGAACTCCTTCCAAACCGACGGCGAGACCGCGTCCCAGTCGGGGACCAATCTTTTGGTCGGTGTCATCGGCTCCAGGACACAAGTCTTCGTCGGTGTCATCGGCTTCTTCTCCAGGTCCGCAACAGGAGACGGGGAGTACGGCGAGAACTCCTTCCAAACCGACGGCGAGACTGCGTCCCAGTCGGGGACCAAGGTTTTGGTCGGCGTCATCGGATCCGGGACACAAGTCTTGCTCGGTGTCTTCGGTTTCTTCTCCAAGTCCGCAACAGGAGACTCAGGCATGATCTCAATCCAAATCAACGGCGAGACTGCATCCCGGTCGGGGACCGAGGTTTTGCTCGGTGTCCTCGGATGCAGGACACAAGTCTTCGTCGGTGTCTTCGGCTCCCTCTCCATGTCCGCAACACGAGACTCAGGCACAGCAAGGGTCTAGGATGATCAGGGCTCTCGGGCCGGAAGGTTGCAGCCGGTGGCAGCTCGAAGTGCATTCCAATGCGAAGCCGGCCAAGGTCCAAGCCAGGTCGGCCGACGGCTTCATCGATGGCAAGGCCTCCTGATCCAGTCAACCGAGGGACGAAGTGCCAGGAAGACACGAAGTGCCCGCACTCCACCAACATGGCCCGCCTCGTCCCGAAGAAGCAGTGCATCCGTGCTCGCACAGGAGGCCGACAATGCCGACACCTGCGGGAAAGCAACAGGACCGGTCACAGGCCACTGTCGGTGTGCGGGACTGCAACCTTCAGAGATACCTTGCCCAAGGTCCAGGCCACCGGTACCATGGAGGTCGCATCGACCTGAGCAAGCAACGTGACACCGGCAGACAAGCATACAAGCGTTGGCCTGCAGACACGGCCGACGGTGAACAAAGCAAGGGCGGAAAGGAAAGCCCAACCTCGGCCGATCTTGGCATGGAGTCCTGGCAGCACAGCAGCCAAAACCCTAAGCCCCCGAACCCTTAACCCTAAGCACCGAAACCCTGGTGGCCTCTTGCTGCTCGAGCTCTCGTGTGGAGTCCTGCCAGCAAGTCTAGAGATCAATGGCCGTCCACATAAGGTATTCCCACACAAAGCAGTGAAGCATCAGCATGCAAAGCTTTTCTTTTTACCTGGTCACCCTCCGCCACCGATCACCGAAACGGCAGCACCTCGTCTATCCTACCCTGCTGGTAGAACGAGTGCATGGCCGACATCAAAAGGCGCTGGAACTCCGCATGCGCATTCGGCTGGCCATCATCGGTCTTCCTGTCATCGTCCTTTGTCTTGTCATGATCTTTCTTCCTGTCTTCGTCCTTCTTGATCTTCCGCATGCGGTTCGCCACCAGGAGCACTCGCCTCACCAGCGCCATCCTATTGGCCCGCCGCCAAATCACCACACGCCTGGCGAATTTTCCCGGCCGCCACATGTCGCTCTGCAGGCAGGCTGCTGGGTTGGATGCCAGTTCAAGCTCTGGTTGAACGGATGTTGCCAAATGTCACAATCTCCGCAGGCAGCTGAAAGCTGGATGCCCTTTTGAGCTCAACTAGGCTGCGATCAAATCAAGTGGATTGGCTGCGATCAAATCAAATGGATTGCACACTCGCAAACTGATCCTGCACAGCAACACTGTCGCCGCCTAGGCTGGAAGGACCACCCCGTAAACCACGAACCCAGCCGGTCCTGCTCCAGCTCCGGTCCGGCAGCTTCATGTGCAGGAGCACCAGCGACCTAGCATGAAGCAGGGGAGCCAAGAGCACCAACCCACAGGCCCACAGCCGCCCGAAACCGTCAAGAAACTGGCCTCGGCATAATCGGGTGCATCGGGGACCTGAGGAAGGGAGCAACGAAACCACAGCAACGAGGCCAGACGAAGAAGTCCAAGGTCCACGCGATCGGTTGCGTGGAAGAGGCAACGACCTCCAAAGCCGGCGGGATCGGGGCTTAGGGTGGCTCAGGGGCTTCCGCATCCAACGTG